GGGTAGTTCACCTCGGACTAGGCTGTCATGAGGATGAGCTCAAGCATAGGCTGAGTTCATTCGAGGTTGTTTACCTCATACAGGGTAGTTCACCTCGAAATGGGTTAGCATGAGGATTAGCTCAAGCAGTTGAGTTCATCTGAGGTGTACACCATCCAAGGGAGTTCACCTCGGAATGGACTGTCATGAGGATGAACTCAACAAAGTTTATGAACTTGTTTAAGTTCCTAAGTCAGCACATGAAGTTCCTATTGTTAAAGTCCAAGGCTGACCATATTATATGATAAGGATATAGATATATATATATATATATATCTATATATATCTTTAGCTCAGCATTATAGTTAATAACTGTAACTTGAATAAATTATGAAGCTGCACTTTTTAATCATAGTTTCTTATTAGAAGTCATAATAATATATGACTCTTCTCCCCCTCTCCCCTCTCAACCCGCACATTTGGGGTTGGTAAACATAAACGTTGTAATCGTAAATTACCTTATTTGCATTTTTTATGTTTTAACATGTCCAATAAACAAGCAGTCATGCATGTGGTAATATAAAGTCTTTCTAGCTTGTAAATATAAAAACAAAAATTGGACATGCAAAATAACTCATAAAAATCTTAAATGTGCAAAGTAATTTTGAAATTTCTAATATGTAACACTTACTTGACTTGCAGAGCAGAATTAATTTATACTTGAGAAAGAATTGTACTTGATGAGATAGAAACTCGAGAAAGAATTTAGCTTCTTACGAATGATGTTAACTCCTTCTTGCTGTGACTCAAGAGCAAATGTGGAGAGAAAAAATTTAGCCTCTCATAAATGATGCTAGAGAAGAAATTTACTTGATCATCTTTGTAAGCTATTGAGCTTTATGGTTGGGGCCGGTAGCCTTTTAAAATTGGATGGAGAAGTTGTGCATAGCTCATATATAAGTTCGATGGAGGAGCTCAGCATAAAGTGATTTCTCTAGAACCCACCCCACATGGAGTCCCTGCACTTTTCCATCTCTAAAATAGCAATAGATATTTATAATCATAATTGCAAATGAGCAAAGTAGCATGATTATGATATATAAAAAATGAGATGGCAAAATGATATCATGAGTGCAAAAACAAGTGCAGAATGAATGGAAAAATGTAGAATGAATGCAAAGAATGCGGAAAGCAATTAATAATAAATTTTAATATAAGATTGGACCAAGCTTGGACCAAAGCTCTAATTTGCTGTGGAGCTTAATTGCTTTCTTGACAACCTGTATCACAAGGACTTGAAAAGAGGAGAAATTAAAGCATCTAGTCTTATAATCAAGAAAATATATTGTGTAAAATAAATAAAAGAAAAAGATTACTAGTTCATTTTTTTTTTTTCAAGACAATACATGGCTAATGAACTAAATTTATATACATATTAATGTAAAATTTATGCCTTGATATTATTGACATTTGGATGAATTTTATGAAAATTTACTTAATTTTGCATAATTTTCATT